TTAATTGATGTGTCTACATTTTATAAGAAAATCAACAAAAACGAAAAATGAGAGGATTTTAAAAATATGGTAGAAATAACGGCAGTAAAACTTGATGGTATGAAAAAAATGGAGAAAATTGCTTATTTACTTGTGGAAAGAAGAAGGTTAGTTAGTTTATGCCTGACACGATTTTCATTACAAGAAATACGTGCCGCCTAATATGGTATCGTGGAATTTTTATACTTAGATTGGAGCGCACAGAGTCTTTTGAAATGCCCCCTTGTTTTACTCGACAGGGAGATGGAAGGTGAAAACCGCGAGTAAAGTGGATGCTCACAGTGTGAAAAAATCCCTTTAGCATGGAGATAAGTGCCTATCACTAATGAATAGGTCAACAATATGGCCTAATGGGATACGACTTGCCCTGCTTGACAAAGTTTTATGAAGTATGTGACATAGTCTGTTTTAAGCAACGGAGGAAAGTGTAAGGGTTGACGAAAAAGAAGAATAGGTAGGATGCAAGAGTTGACAAACTGTAGGATGAGGAGGGGTTGAGTTATGCCTAATTGCCTTAACTTACTAATGTAAAATGTCAGACAAAATTTCTTTTAAGAAATCTCTAACACATGCGAAGACCAGGATAGATCAGAAGAAAGAATTAGTCCGAAATATTTAACGTCGGTCCTGATTTCTATATCAATATCATCAATTTCGAAACAGTCATAGGAACCAACAGCTTCATCATTTAACTTTCTTTCGCATCGAAAACTCAAATTAATGGTCTGCAATTTGGAAGGATTTAGTTTAAGACAGGTCATTAGACTAAGACCATTTGTTGACTGCTGACAGAAAGCTGTTCATCTTAGTACAGTCTATACGGGGGTCGACAGGCATTGAAACTCGTCATTAGCATACTAAACAAAGTTCATTTCATCATCGGAATGAGGCAAGTTATACAAGAAGAAAGAATACAGTGCCTTGAGGGATGTCAGCTTTAGGGTAATAAGTGCAGTAGACGACTTCCATTTATATAAATTATCCTTCTTTCTTCCTGAGAAATAAGAATGCAGCCAGTTGACAACCCAGCACTCAGTTTGGGTTATAGCAAGCATATTTGACAACAACTTCGGCTACGAAAAAATACCTTCATTTTCCACGATTGTATTGTTGTTCATGATTTGTCATACTAAATGTCGCAAGCTTGGAGGTCAAGATATGTATGCTATAACTGGCACCCCTCCATCAACATCCTCACATTTGTCGAATCACTAGTTCGGCCGTCTATTAGTCGATGGAGTCTTCTAATTCAGGTAGATGTGTGGTGGTTCGTATCATGTAGTCACACAGATTTTGATCTTATACAATACACCAGTTTGTCAATTCAAACCCTTCTGTGATGAGAGCGTCTCCAACAACAGAAATTTAGAAGAAGTCACTAATTAAAGATTACCTCCTAGTCTTATACAAGTAATTCAACTAGCGTATGTCCTCTGTGGTGGCCTGCATAAAACTTGGGCCACCGGAAACCTCCATCGATAAATTATTGTATATAATATCTCTTATTCACTTTGTTTAAATCTAGTAAAATATGGTTACGTAATAGTGCTGTTTACTCAGGCTGGTATTTAAAACTTTTACAATCTGCTGATTCGCATATTGCCATTAAACACGAGGAAAAGCTTTATATATAGAATCTCGGCAAGTGTATCTCCCTTGAATTGGAGACGTAAAAACAGAGGCTTTTTCTTCACTGTTGCTAGTTCATGTTTAACGATTATTGTGACCTGTGTTGGCTTTAACGAACTTCTCTGGATATCCGTTCTCGCTTAGAATGTCTCGGATGACCTGGAGTTCTTTCTCTACGCAGTCGTCAGAACAAATAGACCTTGCTCTAAATGCTAAGCACCTGATTAGATTACGTTTTTATTTTTTTGGTACGAAGCTAAGCAAGTGTGTATACTGAGCTTTGGTCTCTAACTTTCTAAATATGGTTCTTTTGACGGAACCATTCTCTCTTCTCGTTAGTAGGACGTCGAGGAAGTGTAGAGAGTCGTTGTATTCTCCTTCGTAGGTGAAATGGACAACTGGGTGAGAATTATTGAAGTTGTTCAAAATCAAATCACTACTTCACTCTTCATCCTACATTACAAAAGTTTCATCCATGCAACGACATTACATTTCCATTTTTTCTATTTCCTCTTTCAACTGACTATTTTCTAGTTTTGCTAGAAATCTGTTCGCGAAAATAGGTCCCAGTGGGGATCCCATGGCTAGTTCATCAACCTGTCTGTATATTTCATTATTAAACAGGAAATGAACATTTGTTGTACATTTAACAAGTAGTTGTTTCAGATTACTGATAGGAATATCAGTGCACAACTTTTTTTCTGTAATCTCTTCACAGATAAAATCGATGGTTTCCACTAGGGGCACATTAGTGAATAGAGATGAAACATCAAATGATGCCATATATTTGCCAGTCGCCTTCAAGTTTTTGATCTTATCAATAAATTGAAAGGTATCCTTGACGCTATGCTTTACTAACTCGTCATGCAAGGGTTGAAGTAGCTGTACCAGCTACTTTCCCGCCTCGTGATAGGGTGAAAGAGACATGTCTAGTATGGAGCGTTGGGGCACTCCTGATTTGTGCATTTTCGGTAGACCATACATGCAGGAGGTGGTGCTTCCTGTGGGTTTTATATTTCCGAAATTTTTTGGTGATACACTTTATACACTTTACCCTTCAAATCCTTTCATAAGTTTGTTATTTCTCTCACCACTTTCCCTGTATAATCTTTCATTGCTTTCGGCTTCTGAAATACAAACGTAATATAATCAGGTGCTTAGCATTTAGAGCAAGGTCTATTTGTTCTGACGACTGCGTAGAGAAAGAACTCCAGGTCATCCGAGACATTCTAAGCGAGAACGGATATCCAGAGAAGTTCATTAAAGCCAACACAGGTCACAATAATCGTTAAACATGAACTAGCAACAGTGAAGAAAAAGCCTCTGTTTTCACGTCTCCAATTCAAGGGAGATACACCTGCGGAGATTCTATCGCAATATTTAACCAGAGTGATCAAGAAAAGTGTTATTTTCGATGGCAGCTTATCCTAATACGTGAGATGATCGTTCTTAAATGTTGTCCCTGCTTCATAAAATGTTCTCCTGAAATTTTAATTATTGGTATTCAACAAAATGTCATCGTGTATTTTTCGAAGAAGACAAAGAAGTGATATCATCATAATGAAATGGTCTGTGCTTCAGGTCAGATAGAACTGTGTCACACATTCTTCTGTCACAATTATTCTTTTATTTGAAGATTCTGGACGGACAGAAACTATCATGCAATGAACTCAACCACAAAGGACACTTTCACTACAACTGTCAGAGGAAAGCAGGAAACACTACGCGACATCACTGAAGCATCATGCATGGAAGACCATTGAAACCTTTCTGAAGGTGGTTTTCAACGAAACTTGTTCAACGGTTTTAGGAAGGAACAAGAGACAAGACAAAGAGTGGCTCTCAATGGACACTTGGAAGCTAATAGACGAAAGGAGAATAGTGAAATAGAAAACGATTCAATGCAAACACGGACGAGAGAAAGAGACGCTGAGTCCAACTTACACAGAACTAGACAAACGAATGAAGAAGAGTGCTAGGAAGGACAAAAGACAATTCTACGACAATCTGGCCACTGAAGCAGAGAAGGCAGTTGGAAAAACGGACCTGAGGACATTATATCGGATAACCAAGTATCTATCCGGGAAGACATCAACACAAGTGAGACCTATAAAAGACAGCCAGGGGAACCCAATTACTAAGGAAAAAAGACAGACTAAATAATGGGCGGATAACTTCAAAAGACTCTTGAACTGACCACCAGCTGTAACCGACCGATGTGAAGAACCTAGAAGACCTGGATTTCGCGCGTGGGTGATTTATGTTTGATGTCACACAAAATCGAAGACTTACAAGCGAAAACCGACAAATTGGTCGAAGAAGCGGCCGGAGAAGACAGGACTCCAGATGAACATAGATAAGACGGAGATTATGAAAATAACCAACTAACAACAACAGCAATATCCAGCGTTAACCTCAATCAACTAGAGGGATCTGAAAGAGGTTACTTCATTTACTCACTTATCTAGGGAGCATTGTCTCAACTGCAGGCTGTCGGAACGGACGAGGATGTCAAAACGAGCGAGAATCGGGAAGGCGAGAAACCCACACATTCATCAACCTGAAACCAATCTGGAAATCTTCGTCACTCAGCCAGCTTCAACAACAAAATTCGCTCGGATTTTCTATACAAACGTAAAGTCAGTCAGCTGTTCTATACGGATCATAAACTTCGCGGGTGGGTCCCAAAGAATATTTCCAACAGCCTATTGCAGACCTTCATCAACCAACAACTGTCTTCGCTGGGTCTATGCTGAAGATCAGATGGCCAGCCGGGCCGGAAAGAATCACCAACAAGAAACTATGGGAAGGAACAAACAAAACAAGAACCAATCGCCAACCAAGAGATATGCAGGAGAAAGTGGATTGAGATGGATTGGACACTTGTTGCTGAGGAGGCCGTCTCTGGGTGATCTCGCACTTGCGTCAGGCCATTGCTCGAGTGGAACACGAAAGGGAAGCGGCGAGTGGGACGTCAGTGTGGGGGTGACATGGAGGAGATGGTGTGAAGAGGATTTGAAAGAGTATGGAGTAAGATGGATGTAGGTGAAATGTACAACAGAAGCAAGAAAGAAGTGGCAAGTGGAGACGTGCAGTTGAAGCCCTGTGTTCCAATAGAAACCCAAGGGAACAATAAATATAATAAAATAAACTCAACTATAAATTCTGCACAATATATAAACAGTATTCAGAATAAATCTATTCTTATTATTATTATTCATGTTAGAAAACGTCCATTCATAATTTATATGATTATTTAAGTATTCCGTTTCTTCGCTTTTTCTATTCACTCTTTTCTGTATCATATATTTTATTGTTTCTTATATTTCCAGCCTACAGATTAAACGAAAAGCCAATAGTATGAAAGAAGAGACTGGCAGGAAACAAACTGCTTCCCCATTTTGGATGAATAATACTAATCATCATATTGTACAGTCATATTCTACGATAATAATTCCGTCTTCCCATCCAACTACAAATTGTCGGCCTTCTCCCTATCGTCAGCTTGATTCCTCACAAAGTGATGATTTGCTTGATCCAATCTATTCAGTTATTCAATATCCTTTGAATACTGGGGCACTTCAGTCCACCCAGTCATTATCCCCATCATCAGGGTGTGATTATTCTGAAGGATCAATGAATCAACGACAATTCATAGAACCTCATCGTCTTCTATTGGCGAAAGATATATGGACAAGTCAGGTAATATAAAAAACACATATGCGTACATTTCTGAGTAAAGCATTTTTGAATAAGGCGAAATGAACATCTGTTTCGTTTCAGCTCAAGACTCCTCAGCCCTCTTCACTCATGACTAATATGGTATGTAAAGTTCTAGGCTCAGTAATCATGCGTAGATTAAGTAGTACTCGGGAGAAACAAACATGAGAAAATCTGGCAGGTTTTAGATGAGGAAGAGGGTGTATTGATCATGTATTCACCTTTCGATTCTGGATTCTGGAACGTAGACATATTTACTGGTGTCCAACAACTGCCATATTTTTGACCTAAAATCGAAATTCTATTCTGTCCACCAAGAGGTACTATGAGGATGTTTAGCTGAGAGGGGAATGACAAGAGTAAACGTTTCACTGATCAAGGCATTTGAATGGGACTCATGCAGCCATGTAAGAGCCTACGGAGAATTGTCGTCTGAAGTGATGACAACCAGTGGCGTCCATCAGACAGGAATTTCCCCTGTCACCATTTCTGTACTAATGAAGTTAAACCAAACAAACTTCAGTAACCCAGAGATGGACTAATTAACACCCGGGAATAATCTGGTTAACTTAGAACATGAGACTGATATAGTCCTGCCATCTAGGTGAAGATGCTGACAAAAGAGAGCAGAGTCTTCTGAACACCTTAAGAAGTACCATCTTTTGACTGTTTGGAATGCAGCTTTCTCCTGACAGATGTAAGATGACGCTACAGAACTGGGCTACATTTACTTTTAGCTAATTGCTTTTAGCTGATATAATTTCAGCGCGGATATAGGAGGCTCGCTAGGCGTTTTTTACAACCCACGCCATCTCTGAATTAGTCGACGTGAAATCTGGCTGGCTATAGATCAGAGGACATGTGTACTGAGTAACGCTAGTTCGCACTCTCCTCTTTTATGACTGCTAGATATGGCCACTGAAAGGGAAAGATGTAAAAAGGCTAACTGTCTTTGTTCTTCCGTGTTAGGCGGTCGTATAATATTGTGAGTAATATTCAGCTTAGGCTCTGGTCGAGTGCTAGGTTAGGAGGGAAAGTCAACCGACGAGTATCAGAAGTTACAACGACTGAAGTAAGTGTTACACATGCTTAACCATCAGTTTCCTCTACAGGTTATGTCAACTGATATAAGATCATTTTGGAAAAGAGTTAGCTACTCTTGGTCAAATTAAAATATGGCTTCATCACTCGATGAAATCCACAGCAGTTAGTTTGAACCAGCCATTCACGCGGGGATATATAGACTGTCAGGCTGGTTGGGGTCCTCGGGATTCTAGGAACCAATGATGGCTCGACAGAATTAGTTATATAGCTCAGACTTATCATTCTCAGTCAGTGATGGAGCAGATGCTTTCAATCTTTGTGATTTGTCACATCCGGTAAGACTCTATTGTTCTTCCACCATATTACTGCTCATCTTCCCTCACTGACACTTCTGTTTATCATCTCTCTTTACTCTTCTTGGTCTTCCTTTGTGTGGTACATGAAAGGAGAGTGGCAACTGCAACACATCTCTTCAAGGTCCTGTATTGAAACCAGTCAACCACTCATTCATGACGTAACCAGAGATCGAACCGACTAGCTTTAAAATACAAAGGCCGAACCGTTGAATAATCAGTCACTGATTTGGAATTCAGTAGTCTGTGAATTCTAACTCCTGTCGGTTTGCATTTCAGCGGCACTGCCAACCGATGCCATCGATAAACACCAGCTTTACGTTGATATGGTGGATATTACAAGCAACCACTTCACATTAGAATTACGTAGCTTCAGTGGAGTAGCTTATAATGACCTGGAGACTAATATTATAATTCTTCACCTCTTATTGATCAGGACTAATTTAAATGTAGGCTTCGCCTCGAACCAGTACCCGTTAGAGAATCACTGGACAACAAGGAGCCTCAGACAGCTACCAGAGAATGATAATACAGTGGTTGAATGGTCAGTGGGCTGGCGAGGCGACTTCAAGGTCTTGAGTATACACTGCTGAAGATTTGGAAACTAGAACAAAACATCAGTATAGTACCTCCCGGATTTCAAGAAAATTGAAAAATGATGCTTTTTAGTGACGAAATCTGTATATCCCGCCAAAACCCATAATCTGAAAGTTTTAGAAGCTTCGTCTGAAAGGTAGACTTCAAAAGTGAGTGAATCAACTACTTATATCTGATAGTAGTATACGAGTAAGTCTACGAGTTGATGATTAAAAACGGAAAGGTAGGCCTGTGAGACAGTACCACTCAGATTAGCTACCTCATGATTGTTAGAGTATTTAAGATAAAGCTGGATTTACTTGGTGTTTCATCATTACTGTTTAGTCTCGTGAATATCTACTGTAGTGAAAATAAATGTGTTTTTATGGCGTGTAAGACGCCATCGATTTTGGATTCAGGTAGATTACAAACTTACTCACTCGAAGAAGATCAAATCTCCACAAATAAACCCATGAGAATTAATCTTATGCTCGCTAGTGGCTGGCTGCAGGACCCAGATGCCTCAAATTCTGGTGAGAATTCGTGACCAGCAGGGTCCATTAGGTCGGATGTGAAAACAAATACTCGCGACATATGCCATTGGCTGCTGAAATTCGTGCTAAATCCACGAATCGGTACAATTTAGAGTACATGGGCTGGCTAATGAGTTGGACCCCATTGGGTGAATAGTTTACAAGCTTTCCTTGTGATCGGAAGATCTTGAGTTCGAAACCCTTTGTAAAAAATTATATTTGTATAATCTCAGCGATATTGAAATGAGTAATTCCAACGTTTCGTTCGGCAATCTGGTCCGAACTTCTTCAGGGAAATTAATCGAAATTAACATAACAGGTTTATATATAAAAGGAACTTCTTTAGTTTTTAAAAAACTTTGTCCAATCATGATTTACAAAACAAATATTAACAAGTATAATAAACAAAATTGTACGAGTTGTGATCAAAATTTGACCTCGGACCAGATTGCCGAACGAAGCGTTGGAATTACTCATTTCAATATCGCTGGGATTTTACAAATATAATTTTTTACAAATGTCTACTTCTCACTCGGCGCCCAAATATTATAGAACTATTCTGTCAAATCTTGACTACAGTTCATTTGAGTTCGAAACCCTGTTGGTGCATTTTTCTGATGAGTCCGAAATTAGGATGAAACAGCTGGCTGTCAAGTGGTCCCTGCTGTTTTTCAGTGTTTCTCTAACTGTTATCAATCCGTGGTCAAGATTGAAAAACAAATCTCTATTACTGAATCAGTTTATACTTGAGTTTCAAAGCAGTATGAGTCCCCTTTAGCTTGCAGAGAAAAATAAGATTTAGCAAACGAGTTCACGTATACTTAACATGGAATTATAATTAACATGGTAAATTGTTATTCATGTAATACTACTTTCTTGATAATCTTCAATTTCTTACACTGTCTACCCCATTCAAAATCAAACTAAATTTGCTACATTTCTGAGATTTCATTGAACTCTGATGGTAATTACGTAAGAGCTGACGTTCATCCTAATCTTTAACTACTCCATAGAACGGAAGTAAAGCGAATTCATTCACAGATCAGCATTCTTATAAGCTGACTTATTCATAAACGTCACCTCTTTTTCAACTGCGTAATAATCATGATGATAACTTGCTCAGTTAATTGACTGAATTCTGAGCAAATAACTTTTCCGTGAAGGTGTACTTTAATCTTGAAAATGTGGCCTTCACATAGATAACTTCGTACCAAGATCACAAGCAAACACACAGATACACAAAAAGTATTAATGCTTAAAATATCTCAATTATACCAGAATTTTTTCTTTTTCGAGGCGTTAATTGATTCTAAATTATACTGTCTTGAGAATATACTTCAGGAGATGATATCATATCATATCGCTTTACAACTAACATGGTTCAGAATGATAAATTAAAGTGTACAACAAGTATTTAGTTATATAAAAGAAATGTGTATGCTTACTAGCAATCACATTTTATTAGGTCAAGTGGTCCATAGCAGGCAAAGCTTGAAGTCTGTGGGAAATTCCCAATCGGATTAATAGAAAATAAAAACAAGTAATTAAGTGAAAAGACTCTAGATTGACATGAATTTATTGGATTGAATTTTTGATTCTCCCGTCATTGATTGGACCGAAGTGCTCGGTCTCAGGTTGACATCGACGGGAAAATCAAAAATTCAATTGAATAATTAATATGACCCGTTGCACAAGAGGTGGCTCTCGTGGTCCAAGTGGTCTAGTGGATAACGCTTTGGCGTTTGAAACTATGGGTACTGGGTTCGAGCCTCGGTGGGAACATCATCACTCACTGAGAAATGCAGGTACATCCAGCTGACGAGTCCCTAATAGGACGAAATGTGCATCCTGGATTCCACTGCTAGCCACCATCCACCAATTGTATGACATGAATTTATTATCAAACTGGGTATATCGGTCGTTCGACTCGAGTTTCGTTCAACAGGGTGCAGGAACACAATCCTGAATGGTTACCAAGAGGTGGAAGTGGAGGTATAAGAAGTGCAATCATTGATTTTCTGGTCGATACTCATCGCCATACTACTACAACCACTTCCTTTAAAGTCATCTATAAAGGGAAAAATAATTTTCTCAAATCACTACGTATCTTACTCATTGGTATTGCTGAAGCTTTGGCCATCAAAACAGAAAAGCCACAGCTCTGTACTCAGAAAGAGTTTTTTCGACCCCTCCAACTCTCATGGTCTTAATCCCTCTATGCTAAAGTGTGGTAATCCCTCATCATATTTTAGCTCTACAAATTATTTCCTTGTGTCCATTCAATTTGTATAATCTTCCGTTGTTAAGTCAATTGTTACTATTACTATTCTCACTTTGAACTGACCCCTGTATCATTTCACTCGTTCTACTTGCCATTCTAAGTCAAATCTTCTTTGCAACGTTAAATTCTATGCTATCAAATTTCACACAGTGTTACGTAATGTTTTCGCTCTGTTTGCCTACCAATCCTTTATTT